TGGCCAGGGTCACATCTTCAGGATATGTCAAAGGAAAGACTTGAAGTCAGGTTTTCTTGCCTTAGAGGCAAGCTCTTTATCCACTATTTGATTGCTTCTCCAAAGAACCTATTAGTGAGTTTAGAACTGTACCTAGTGCACTGATGTTGGATAAGTGAGCTTTCTACTGATTTAATAGGCAACTCTAGGGCTATCAAGAAACCTTCTTATAACCAAAATCTGCATCGAAAATGTTTGTTTGGGGCAGCTAGGTGGCACAGTGGGTAGAGCACGGCTCTGGAGTCAGGAGGACCTAAGTTCAAATGTGACCTCAGATACTTGACACTTGCTAGCTCTGTGACCCTGGGCAAGTCACCTAACCCGATCACCTCGCCAAAAAAAAAAAAAAAAAAAAAAAAGAAAGAGAGAAAAGAAAGAAGAAAGAAAATGTGTTTTAAAAAATCTGAAAACCTATACCCTAAATAGTAGTTGTGCCTTCTATATGAAGTCCTGCTCTTGTCCAATAGGTAAGGAAAGTCATATTGTAGTGAGAACTGCTGAGTTTGATAGTGAAAATTCATTTTCTACTTCCTTCTGCAACTGCAGCAGGAGTTGTGAAAGACCATTAGGTGCCTTTGACCAAAGCAAAAATCTTCCCTTGCATCTGTTGCTCATGATTTCATTTCCATATTAATACATGTAAGGCTTCATGGCATTGTAGATAGAGTGCTAAGATTTGGAGCTACGAGGGCTTGGATTGTAGCCCTGACTCCCATACTTACTTGGCCTCTCTGAGCCTCACTTTCCTCATCTCCAAACGGGGTAGAGACCTGTAGTATTTATCTTATGAAGTTAGGGTGGGGTTCCAATGAGATAATATAGATGAAGTGCTTTAGAAAATATTCCATAATTGTCAGTTTTTGTTGTTAATAATATTATGTGTTCCCCCTAAGCAACTAAGGCAAGATGAGATAACCTATTTTCTCAAACATGATTGATTCCAGTTTTCAAAGGATATTCAAAGCCACAAGTAATTGATCCCCTACTATCGACACAGTACTCTGTGTGGCATATTCTATTTATAATCAAGCCATATTCCTCTGTGCTGTCATTCTCCTGTAAATTACCCACTGCCAGGTGCTCAGCTTTCCAATGTTTATGATCCCTCCTTATGATTCCTACTCAATGCCAACACCAGTCTCATAAAGTACAGATTGTCATGTGGATTCCTCTGACGTCCTCTTCAGTTTGACTCTGAAGAAAATCTTATTCATCTCATCCACTCCTAGATTAAAACACAGCTATTTACTCATTTAATTCAGCTGCTGCTTCCCGATCCTGAACCATGGTGAAGTATTCTCTCCCTAGCCTATACTTTGTGCCTATGAAAAGGAAACAGGAGGGTTAATCACCTCCCTTTACCCATCCTGGAAGAAAAACTAAGGGGAAGATCACTTCTAATGGTTTTCCCAGGTAGGCTGGCAACTTCATTCAATTCTGTATTTCTTAACCCCTTAAAAACTTCCCTTGTATTGTATTTTCACTTCCTCGGATAACACGCGGGTGTTTTTCTGGATTATTGTTGGGGTTGGAACTGTTTTTATAGAGAGGCGTGAAACCATTCTGTTTGGGAAGAGTTCTAGCTGAAAGGCAGCTCTGCCTCCATCCCTGTTAGCCCCCTTTTATTCCCAGAGGATTGGCAGTTGTTCCCACATCAGTTCCTTTCTATTGGAGCTATTCAAGCATCAGGGATTATATGTCTCTATATCACAAGTTAACTGTTTTTCCAGAGACACCTTTCTAATTAAGGTTCTGTAGGATTGGTGGAGATAGTGGGACTTGAAATCAAAATCCTTTATACCTCCCTTCCCCATTCATCACAATATCTGACAGCTCTTCTTTCTAAACCATTACAGGATTAAAAGATATGTATGTATATACATAATAATAGGATTATAGATTGAGAGCTGGGAAGGACCTCAGTCATCTAATCCAACCAGCTCATTTGACAGATGAGGAAACTGAGGGCCGAGGAAGGGAAGTGACTTGCCTAAGGTTACTCAGGTACTAAAAATAGTAGAGGACACATTTTGAACCCAGGCCCTGTGACTCCAAATCCAGTTTTCCCCCCCTTCCTTTAGAGCAGAACAGCAGAACTCCTCTCTTGAGCTGCGTCTCCCTGTGTGTTTATCTCATTTGTTCTGAAACTCTTCCAATACATTTCTAAGTGCTTTATTTTAGGATGTGCTCCTGGAAAGTAATTGGCAAGTATAACTTAATGCCCTTAGCTTGTGGAAGAGCGGGCTCCAGCTTTTAGAATGTAATCCAGCATATACTTTAAGAACATGAAATCAGAATAGCTCCCCTTCTCCCATACTCTGGTACTTTCTGCTACCTTTTGTTTTTTTTGTTTATTTGTTTTTAAATGCCACAGTACCCACAATTGCACCGTGTACAAATTTGTTTGAGGTAGCACTAGCTGAATCTTTGCTTGCCTGGACTCATTCCAACCCAAACTTTTCCCCCACACTAGAGGCAAATTGAAAGAAATCCAACTACGAGTGTCTGAGGCCTTCTGTGTGTCAAACCACTGGTGTTAACCTCTTTGGAGGAAACAAAAGGGAGGAGGTAAAGTCTCAAGACCCAGCCCTCAAAGACCCCCCCATACAAAACTTATCCTGGGACCCTAGAATTTCATTCAAAACTCAGCTTGTGAAGCTAAAAGTCTATTTCTGCTGGGTGGCTGTCCCAGCTCCCACCTTGAAGACGTAAATTTGCCTCAGGCCACTGAAGCAAGTGGTAAGACTCTTCAGTGTGTAAAGGGTGTACGTTTTTGAGAATTTATCTGTGAGTCCCTCTAAATAGGAGACTGGGAAGTGAAATCATCTTGGGGATAGGGAAGCTAAGGTTTGAGTCTAGTTCTTTTGGGGAGCCAGGGATGTTTATCTTTCAGAAATTTGCGGTGATGTGTAGAAATGCAGGCTCCAAGGTCCCCAGTGCACCCCCATCCAACACAAAAAGAAGCCTGCTGGAAATGTTTTCCGAGGTGAATCTGCTGCCCGAGGCTTTATTACCTCGCCTCAAATAAGCTAAACACTCAGAACCAAAGCAGAGCCCCCAGAAATATTTCAGGAGGGCAGGTTCATTTGAAAGTTGGGAGTTTCGTTCCTTGTGGACTGCAGAGTAACAGGATTAAAAGGGATTAACGCAATCGGGGCGGGGGGGGGGGGGAATAAAACAAACGAAAGGTTTGTTTGGTGGCTTTTAATGCCCCAAAGTGATGGACTACAGAAGGTGCATTGGATTGTACATTTAGAGCTGAAAGGTCACTTAGACCAAGCCCTTCGTTTTACAGATGGGGAAACTGAGGTACAGGGACTTGCGGGAAGCCACACAGGTAGTAAAGGGGCGGAAGGCGTATCTAAAGTCAGAAGTTCTCTTCCAATCCAGCTCTCCACTACATATGTTGCGCGGAGGTCGAGGAGAGAGAAGGGGGAAGTGAGGGATGAGAGCTCTGAAACCAGGGAAGGGTGGTTTAGTTATTGGGAGGAAACACTCAAAAACTGGGGCTTATGGCAGCTTTTAGAAAAAAAATGGGGGAATAGAAAGGGACATTAAACGTCTGGAGATCTCTAGGGCGCAGAAGGGGAGAGAGAGGGAAAGCCCTAAACATTAATCTGTTTTCTTTATCCCCTGCAACCATTTTCTTTTTAAATGTCATAATTAAGATTTCTCGACAGGTTTTTATTTTGTGAATATTCCAGCCGAGCTCGGGTTTTTTTTTCCCCCCGGACCAACTCCCCCAGGGCAGCCAGGATCTATTCCCGGCTCTTCCAAGCACAAGGCAACCCCTCCCGGGAAACCAGCTCAGCCCAGCCATGCAACAAGTGTACAACCCCTTAGTGTCCGAACCTGCCACCTGACCACTTTATTTGTGCCCATTTAGGTGCTGAAATCCCCCTGACTGTGAATTAGTTAAAAGGTGAGGATATTGGAAGGGAAGTTCTCTAATATTCTATTGGCCCTTTCTTCTGCCTTGAGAAAAACATCAAGACAAGCCAGGGTCACTGACCATTTCTAATTGTCCTTCGGGGAAGACAAGTAAGTTTTCCCTCCCATCCTTCCCTTTTCCCCAACCCCAGCGCCCACCCCTCCCTCTGCGTCCCCCTCCCCCGTTTAAAAACGAAGTGTTACAAAATTGCCAAGACTCGTGATATTGCCGGTTCTAAAATTTATTGAGTTCTCCTTTCGGAGATCAGGAAAAAGTCTTTTTAAAAGCTCACACAAATCCCCCCCTCCCGCCCCCCAAAGAAACCCTAACACATTTGCTGCTGCTTCTGATGTTTTTGTTTGTAGAAGCCACGAACTCAGCATCCATCGAAAACTCCCACCCCACTTTTACAGAAGCTTACAAACCCGAGCACGATGAGGAAAGAACACACAACTTACTATAAATTAGAAGCTTGCCTTTGCGACCTGAAGAATAAGTTTTTTTCAAGGCGAGGAGAGGGAAGCAAAGACGCTAAAGTGTTTGGGATACAACCCCAAACGAGACTAGGTGAAGCGAGAACTATTTAAACCAGTGTAAACAGTTTGAATCGTTTCCCTGCTTCCCAAACTTATTCCATCTCTAAAACAAAAACTGACAATACAAGATATTTAATTAAACACAAAGAACTCGAACTACAATCAGATAGATAACCTAGGGGGAAGGGGAGGGGAGGCCTTCTCTGTTTTCCAAACATCACAGAAATGCCCAGCATACATAGAAAGGGGAAGGGAAGAGGGGCAGCAGTCAAGGAAAGTTGTGCACTAGAAAAGAAATCTTCTGCTCGTATTATTTCCCTAAGTCAGTGGGTAGTTCAAATAGTTTCAACCACGCACACAAAGCTAGAGGCAGTCCCGACTTCAGAGAAGGCTGATCGGGAAGGCAAGGCTGCAGCGGGAGAGGAGGTGAAGAGCAGGGCACAAGGGATGGTTGCTGGCTCGTCGTCTGGTTTGGTTTGGGCCGGTCGGGTGTCTCAGATATGAGTCAGTGGCACGGTGCCGTTCACCGCAGTCCCGGCACTTTGGTAGTGTTGGTGAACGCTGTGCAATCGGCTGCCCTGCAGGGACGAAGCGTCTGTGGCGTCTCCCCCCGGCGGGAGGTACATGCTGATCATATCCCTCAGGTCGCCCAGACAAGCCCTCTGCGAATGGGCGCTGATGGCGGGCGGCGGCGGTGAACTGGGTTCTGACTTCACCACGGATCCCATGGAGCCTAGGCTCATGGCGGCGGCCGCAGCAGCGGCAGCGCCGGGCTGTTGGCCGTAGGCGGCGGCGGGCGACATACTGCCGTAGGTGGAGGCGGCGGCGGCGGCCGCCGCGGCGTTCATGTAGGTCTGGGCAGCCGGCATCATGGGGCTGTACTGCAGGCCGGCCATGTCGTAGCGGTGCATCTGCTGCAGCTGGGGGCTGTTCATGCCCGGGTGCTGAGTGTAGCTTAGCTGCTCTGGCATCAGCGAGTACGCCCCGTTCGCCCAACCGTTCATGTGTGCGTACGTGTCCAGCCTCTGGCCCACCCCAACGGGGCTGTTGACGGCCGCTGTCCCGGGGGGCAGCAGGTTGCCGGGCAGGGAGTACTTGTCCTTCTTCAGTAGCGTCTTGGTCTTCCGACGGGGCCGGTATTTGTAATCTGGATACTCTTTCATGTGGACGGCGCGCAGCCTCTTGGCCTCGTCGATGAAAGGCCGCTTCTCGGCGTCTGTCAGCAGTTTCCAATCGGCTCCCAGCCTCTTGCTGATCTCCGAGTTGTGCATCTTGGGGTTCTCTAGGGCCATTTTGCGTCTCTGACCCCGGGACCACACCATGAAGGCGTTCATGGGTCGCTTTACTCTGTCCTGGTCATTACTACTGCCGCCGCCGCCTCCGCTGCCGGCGCCACCTCCCCCGCCTCCCGCGTTCGCTCCGCTCTTGCCTGTGCCCCCGGGGGCAGCGGTGCTGCCCGCTCCCGCCGGAGTCCCTTGTACTACCGGGCTTTTCATCTCACTCTCCAGTAGACTGTACATAGCAGGGGCTGGGAGGAGGTGCGCCAGTTTGCCTTTTGGACACTCGCGAGGCGGGAAGGGAAGAGAAAGAAATGATCAGTGGAGGTGGGGGAGGGGGAGAGAGTCTAAGGTCCCAGAAACTGCAGCAACTTTCGGCCGCCGCCTCTACTGTTGCTGCTGCTGTCGCCGCCGACCGCAGGGTAACCCTCGCTTTACCTCTTCGCAGCGCACTTCTCAGCACCTCGGGGCTCCCTTCACCGTCTGCCCGCAGTTAGCACCGGGTTCTCGGGGGTAGACAAACACAAACAAACAGGCGCCTCCCTATGAACGAGTACACACAAACACAAACACACACACAAGTTGGGATGCCTCCAGAGCTCCCGGTTTCCCGGACACTCCTTCGGCTCTCTCCAGCTCTGCTCTCTCTAGGAAGAGGCTGATTGACTGCCTATAAATGAAAAGGCAGCAGCCAATCAGCGCGCAGATCCCGGCAGGCCCTGGAGAAGAATTGACCAGTTGTAAAACTTTCGCTGGGGTGTGGGGGGGGGGGGTTGCTGGTTGTGGCCGGGGGTCGAGAGGGGGAGGATTGTTTGGGGGGGGGGGGGGGGGGGGGAGGAGGGAGAGAGAGAGGGGGGATGGGGGGGGAGGACGCTACTACTGATCTGGGTTGGAGAAAGTTTAACTAAAGTATAAAAATAGGTGGGGGGGCAAGGCTTGAGCAACTTTGGAGGACCTTTTAATCTTAAGGGTTCCCCAGGAATAAATCAAAACTAGAAGCAATGAAATGATAGGAGAAGAGGCTGGGATTTTCTTCTTGTTTCACTGGGCTCAGCTACCCTGTCCCCGGGATTCCGGGTAGGAGAGATAGTGCACCTTCTGCTCCCTTGTTTTCTGTTAGGTGTTAAAGAAGTGTGAAGCTGGAGCTAGTAAGTTGTGAGTAGGTGTGGCGCTGGGGTCCAGGCACTCTCAGGGCATTATTGGGAAAGGAAAATAGGGTGGGAAGTGAAGTGTCACTATGACCACCGTGGGGCGACTCCCTGGACACTCCCTCTTCTTTATCCAGATGTTTATGTGCCCCATAACTTCTGGGGGGGTGGTATTAGGACCACAACCATAGCCTCCTACGGCATATGAGTTTTCCCTATTTTGGTGCTTTGCTGACAGTGAGCACCCTAGAGAGAGAGTGAAGTCAACCCCACGTCTCAGTTTTAAAGACCTAAAACATTTTACTAAATTAATATCACACTCCCCCTTCCTTCCACCCATACTCCCCTCCCCCTCTCCAAAGCGATCCTTTCCACTGCCCCCGCACTGCCCATTACCCACCCTGGCCCACCCATCAGTTCCGGAGCCTTGAAGCTAAGGGAATGGAGAGGGAGTAATGCGCGAAAGCCCCAGGGAGTAAAAACTACCGCTGTGCAGCTAGGCTTAGGATGATGGGAGCACTGGAACCTGCAGGTGGAGGCAATTGGGAGGAAGAGGCCGAGCTCGCCCATCCCTGGCTGGGGAGGGAAGCAGTGTTTGAACCAAATGTTCAGATGTTGCTGTAGGATTTTGCAGGAGGGGATGAGAAGAGCAGACGAGGTTGCTTTAGTATCTTGCCCCCCCCCCTCCACACACACACCTGGGGAAAGGGGCCTGGAGCTTAGCTTTGGTTTTCAGCGAATGCTAGATTTTAGGGCCAGGAGTAACCACTCCCCTCATTTGACAAGAGGAAACTGAGGCTTAGACAGGGGGAAAGACTAGAGACGAAGGTCACACTGGTAGCCAGCCAAGAGCAGATCTGGGACGTTTGGACTGGGTTCCGAATCCCGTGCTCTTTACTTCTTAGCGCGCTGTCTCCCTTGTGTGGTAAGGAGGAATCAGCCATGTCCCCTTTTTCATCCCTATCCCCTTAGTCCTCTCCCCCTGTACCCCCAGCTCTTTCTACTGCTCTCTTCTCTCTTCTTTTGCCATTTCGGGTTTTTTCCACTCCGCTGCCGCTGAAGGGGCGGGGCATGGCCCTCGGAAAATCCGTTTGCATAGCAACCCGAAACCTCCAGATAAAGAACTTTTTTGGTGGGTTTTTTTTTGGGGGGGGTGGCGGGGGTAGGAGGGGTGGAGGCGGTGCGCAGTAACTGATGCGGAGTTTGAAGCTGGGCTTCATCCAAAAGCCATTCTTCGATGCCCTCTACATTTCCCACAGCCCACCTGCGGGTGCCCAGTAGAGCCCCAGGAGGGCGCCGGGCCTTCTGCCTGCCCAGAATTCCCTTCAGAGGCCCCGGCCCCCAACCAGGCAGTCCCCTCAGAGGAAAGCGCAAGCTTCCTCTCAAGAGTTTGATAGTCTGAGGTGCTTGGTTCTCAGTCCTTCACCTTCCAGGAAGAGTGAGTGAAAGGAAGGTTCGGACTGTTGGGAAGGCCGGACTCAGGGGCAAAACGGCCCGAAGGTCTTTGCTTTCTTCACCCTTGCCCCATTTCCATTCCAATCTAGAAATATGTACGGCAATACAATACATAGGCATATATCTTCTCCCCCCTCCCCCCCCCCGCCAGCAGACGTCGCCCAGACTTTCAGCCCAGGGAGTGGAGAAGGGGGACCCTGGATGGAGGGGACAGCCCTCCCCTCCCCACCCCCGGCCTTACAAAGCTGGGTCTGGCGCAGGGCGGGGCAGGCGGCTGGCGCCAGCGTCCGGGCTTTGCCCCCAAGCCTCTCTGGGCTCGAGAGACCTGCCACCAGGCCCTCTAACTACCCCCAGCCCCCCTCCCCTCCGCGCAGCTGACAGGCAGGGGAAAGAAAACAAATCAGGCCTTTTAAAAGATGGACCACCAAGGGAAAATGCCATTCCATTCACCGACTCCTGTACTGTCAAAGCCGGACAAGAGAGACGAGAGAGATCTAGTTCAGGTACCTCATTCGATGGAGGATACTGAGGCCCAGAGTAGGGAGGGAACTTTCTTAGAGTTATATGTAAAACGGGTGACCTTGGAAGGAGCGGAACCTGGCTCCATTGGCTCCCAGTCCAGTGCTACAGCTTAATGTAAACTCCAAACACTCATTGTGTGTGAACACATATGCAGGTGTGTATATGTGAAAATCAGCATATATTGAGTCTATGAATGCATTAACTATGACACTGTATTTGCAAGGATGGTCAAAAAACAGTACCACGAATGATTTAGTGTTTACCTTTTAAAAAAAATTGCAAGCTGTCATTCATTGGATAACTAAGAAGCTTTTATAGGCCAAGTAGAAGGGGAAGTGTGAAATGTTTTTTTTTTTTTTTGTGGCTCCCCAAGGAACCTGTCCAGGTGTGTGGCTTGACCAGAGGCTACTAAGCTAGAGAACAAGGATCTGGGTACTTCTGGGATCTCTTGTCCTTTATGCAGAAGAGCTGCCAAGAATTGTTTCCAAGTATAGGCACCAGTCAGCAAATCATTAGAGCAGAATTCCTGGATGCTGCATTCAGTCTTGGTGAAGAGTCCCTGATGCTCTTCTCTGCTTTCATTGCCATATCATCCAGAGGTCTTGTGCAGTCTAGTGGGATTCAGGTAGCAATTCAGCAGTCCTGCAGTAATGATGTAAAGAGAAACAAAATCCTTTAAAAAAAAGAGGGGGGAGCCCTTTCCTACTCAGAGTGGTGTTTTAATTTTTGAAAACACCATACCTTGCTTTTTCATAGCCTCACTGGCACTGGCTATAAGCCCCAGTATCTACTACTGCATCCTTGTAGTTGAGAACAAAGCAGTTTCACCCACAAAACTCTTAAAGCACACCTAACCACGTTTTTCTTACCTCATACTTTTAATTTTCAAAGGCAAATGATGCCCTTGAAGGAGGTAGGATTGGAGATGGGAAAATGCCATTTGACCAGCTTTATTTCTTTGCCACTGTCATGGACTTTTAGAACTGCAAGGGAGGTCACTTCATTTTACAAATGAGGATACTGAGACCAAGAAAGAAATGCCTTGCTCAAGTTCACACAAAGAGCTAGTGGCAAACTTGGGGTTAGAACTGGGGTCTCCTTCTCCGAGGCTCAGAATCTTTCCACCACCTTACAGGGCTGCTTGTACTAGACCACAGTTTAATCAAGATAGGATTCAGTCTCAAGAGACTCTAGAGCCTGTTAAATATTTCCAAGCTCAGATTTCTAAACCACGGATGAGGACTGAATTTAGATCACCCAAAGCCTAGAACTTGGGCCCTATTTTCTTGAACCTGATCCATACTAAGGTGAATAAAATATTTAAAGAATTGTAAAAGCAACAGTCAGCTAGCATTTTTCCCTCAAGAAAGGGCCCCACTGAGTCAATCTTCCCGCACCCCCTTCCCTATAGCAGTTCTGCCCCTGGGCCGAGTACTTGGCAGAACTCCGACACTCCTGGGCTGCTGCCAGGCTGCTCCCAAAGACGGCGGGCGCTGCAATATCGCCCCTTTTTGGTTGCGGGCGGTAACATCACCCCAAGATGGGTGTCTCTTTTAACACCTGACCGCTACCCCACCCCCTCCCCTTTGCTGCGAATCCTCCAGAATCCGACGGATTCTGTACCTGTAGGGGTGTTCTCCCAGCCTGGAAGAATTGAAAGTCCTTAGATTCAAGCTGGGGGTAGGGACGGAGTCGGAAAGGGAGCCCAGGAAAGTCGTCCCCAGCAGCTTGGCAGCCACCCGGTCGCTCCACTCTAGCAGTCGTGCCCGGGAGTCGTGAGCTGTCTGGCTGGAGGAGAAAGGCGTGTTTGGTTTGAAAGGAGGTTCGAACCTCCGAGGTGCCCAGCGTCAGCGCGTAAGCACGCACTCACTCACGACTCCAAGAATTGGAAAACTTGTCGGGTTGGTTAGGGCTGACTTCCACGTCCACTGCTGGGGACAATTATCTCTCTCTCTCTCTCTCTCTCTCTCTCTCTCTCTCTCTCTCTCTCTCTCGTCAGTAGTAGTATTAATACTAGTACTAGTAGTTAAGTAGCGGCGGTGGTGGTGATGGTGGCGGTGGTAGTAATAGTAGTGGTATAGTTCTTTGCCCCGTGGGGGCCTGAAAGTACAAACCGGGTTCCAAGCCATCTGCATTCGG